CCCCCCCCCGCCTTTTCTTGTTTAAAGTCGCAAATTACTACTTTAATACCACGTAACTTCTTAACTTTTTGGCATTTACCTGTCCATCTTTATTTCGAAAATCAATGTGCGCTCCATGCTCAACCAACGCCATGATAATATTTCTGCGGTCCGGTGTTGAACAGGCCAGCGTTAGTGGTGTCCTTCCGTTCGAATCTTGAAAATTGGGATCGAAGCCAGAATGACACATCGCCTTCAGTTCTTTCAATTGTCCTTGTGCCACGTAATTCATGAATTTTTTCAAATTTGACTGGAATTTGAAGTAAATGAGACAAAACATGCTTGTGGCGGGTAGCTTTCCATATATGAGCTGGAAAACTTCAATACACTGATTTACAAGTAAAAAAGTGACAAACCATGAAGAAATCTAATTTTTTAAAAGCAGCTTTTTTAGAAAAGTTTTAACTAGATTTATTTTCAAAACTTTTCCGGAATGATTCGGTATGAGGTGACGAGCATCAGGACTATCATCACGAACCAGCATTAGTCAAAACAACTGGTAAAGTTACCGCCTGCATTGTTGGCGAACGACGCCAAAAACTGTAGCTCATCAAAGTATTAAGGAGGGTACCTCTGAATGCAGCTTCTTCAGTTGTTTATCGTCGATATTCAGCATTTTGTAGACCCGTTTTTTGTATTTGAGCTTAAATAGGAATTCTCAGATTAACTTCAAATTATCAGTTGCAAAACAGAAATACTCCTAGAGATCCAATTCTCTAAATCCGTAACTCAAAATTTAAATTTATGAGTCAAAAACGAACGAATTCATCTGAAAATTGGAGTTTGAAGTCCAGAAATTAAGGTATCTCGACATAGTCTGGAAGTAGCAACGATTAAAAACAAGGCAGAGACACTAAGACACACTACTGAGTCTCTAAATGGTTAGAGCTTTGCTGAAATGCTTTTAAAGAAAGAAAGGGCAATCCCTTCTTGAGCCAAAAACAAAGTCAGGATTATTTAAAAGCTGACCACCAGGGAATGCAGCATTGGCCAAAAGAAAATATGAAATGAAGAAGTAAGAACCAATTCATAAAATTTCAATTTCATGTTTTTTATCACCAAACTGAACCAAAAATCACACGACTTAATGATTAACGTTGTCGTGCAGTCATGTTCACTCAGCGACCATCACCAAACTGATCGCAAAAATGACCTGATGGAGCCAGATGTTTAATGTTTAGTGAAATTTCACTGGCATTTTGATTCAAAATGCAGCAGGAAACTGTTCATCACCTGATGGTACCAAAGCGCCACAACTCTAAACTGCTCTCTTTCCCGCGTAAAAGTCTTGTCAAAATTACTCTCACGGATAATGTCTAATAATGTTTACTTGCACTGATTATAGCCTTAACTATAACTGCAATTTTATGAATTCATCTAGAATGCAACGAGTATTTTTTCAGATGGGGTTCGAAATATGACGAAACTCCCGCGATCAATTCGAAGGTTTTTTTTTT